TAAAGTCGTCCCTGCAAAAATTTAAACATGCACTGGGGCCCTTCTCAAATCAACATATTGAGGTGAAACAAGGTGGTATATAGTCCGCCTAATGTTTGTGCTTGCAGTAGTTTGAAAGCTCCCTGTGTTTGGTATAATGGATGTGGTGGAAGACTGCAACAGTCATTTCTTTTCATAAATTGTATTCAGCTCCCATGTGCACAATGCACTGCTCTCTGTTAATATTTAATAAAATCATTCCACTGCTTCTATCAGATAAATGGCAGCTCTATTAAACACTTCTCTCTTTCTCCCTTCCCTTTTCTTATCACCCCCCCCCCCCCCCCCCCCCAAAAAAAAACAAAAAAAAAAAACAGGGACACACTTAGGAAATGGGCATGGAACAACTACTGGTTCACCTACACCATGATGTAAGTTGTTCAAAAACATTCTCTTAGATTTTCTGGATTTCGTGTTTGGCGAAAGGGCTTCATGTGAGTCCACGGAAGTAAATCACAAGCTCATCTTAATATAAATAATGCGCTCAGTGAATCCATAATGTTTCTCCTATTATATGCTAATGCCGGTAAACTCTGTGTCGTGTGTGAAACAGGGCGGTGGTACTCGTCCTCATTGTGGCCCTGTCATGCTGTGACAGTCTCCGGCGTCGAGTCCCCCTCAATTTTATTGCCCTGGGCCTGTTTGTGAGTAGAGGCAGTACCAGCCAGGCATCAAATTAAACCACCACCACACCTGCTCTATTTCACAGTTGTTTTTTTTTGTCATGTATTTACTTTCCATTTGTCTCCCCCTTCCCTTCCCCTCTCTCCCTCCCTCTCCCTGCCTGTGTGCCTTTCTCCCTGTCTTCCTCAGACTGTTGCAGAGGGCCTGATGCTTGCATCTGTGGCGGCGTGAGTGTTTGTTTACAAAGATGAGTCCCCACCTGATGCAGACTCATTTGCACAATAATAATCCTATTTGATCCATATCTGATAGCGTGTTCGATGCCAGCAATGAAGCCATCATGCCAGATAAGATGTTATCAGCGCTGGTTTACCAAATTAAAAGGCACATGGGATCACATTTTCTGATTTTTTTTTTCAGCTGAAGATAAATCTGAGCACATCACAAATAGTTCAAAACCAATTTCTCTGTATTTCTCGGTGCCTGTGTAAACACGAGTTACCCTTTTTTCCCCTCCATCTTTCTGACGGTTCTTTTTTAGCAGCACGTCACTCTGTCAGAAAAAGGCATCAGATGAGACCTGACTATCAATAATGCATTAAAATTACCATATTTATAGGATATTGCTATAACTGAAGCTATAGCTGATAGGAAATGCATGCAGGCAATACATTATTCAATACTTGTCCAGTGGGGTGGGGTTGGGGGGGGTCCAGTGCTCAAAGTTAAATGCATATTTCGAGAAAATAAAATTCTTATAAGAAAATAATACTTCCCTTTAGGATAGACCAAACCCCGCTACTCATCCACCCCAAGATAGACATGATTCAGCTCTTACTGCACTGTTTGATATTTCTGTCTGCAGGTATTTTAATGCTGAAGCAGTCATGTGGGCTGTTGGGGCAACAGCATTTGTGTCCCTTTCCCTGAGCCTGTTCGCCATGCAGTCAAAGGTAAGATCTGTCACACACTCTGAGCTCAGTTTGCACTGCAGCCACAAGTGAAACACGGCGCCTTAACTATACAGTCACTGGTAAATGTCCATACACTCAGCTGTGTTTCCTGTGCAGTCAGAGGGAACGTGTAAAGCTCAGCTGCTGGACAGGTTTTCACCTGCAGAGCTTTCAAAGTCAGATGAGTTTGCTGTCCTGGCAAAACTAAGATTGCTGCTGAGATCAGTGTATTTGTAAGTTGGGTTAATTCCCTGCATCCAGAGGGTTAAGCCCCCATGTGGCTGAGATAACTCTCGCCATATAGAATTATTTATATAAGTCAGCCCTCGTCCTTTTCAGTCTGCCTCCTTTCATGAATTGTGGAAAAAAAAGAAGCAAATAGGCTTTTTATCAAGCAAAACTTCTCAACTTTGTGATTGAAACCCTAAAAAAATGACCGAAAACTTCACCTAAAATTCTATAATAAGCATCCCAACGAATCCCAAATAAGTCTCGCTCGCTGAGGATTTTTCATTCTTTATTTGATCATGCTCATCTTCTTCTGAGATGCCGCTCTCAAAATATATATAATAGCTTATGCTTGTGCACATGGCATTTAAAAGTTTCATTACAACTTGCAGCGTTTTATTAGCTGGAGCAAGTTAGGAGACCTTTTGAGAATCACTTCATTGATAGCTCGGCATGCTTCTTCAATAAACGCCTCATGTTCTGAACAAAAGCAATCACACAGCCAGTGGGGAAGATGTCAGCCACATTCAGATTGCATTTAGAGCCTCTTTTAATTGCTGCTAAATGGTGGTTGGCATTTCACACACTTTGCCACTTATTGTATCTGAAGGAGCTGGAGACATTTATATTTTTGCTCACAGTGGATGGAACAAGCAAGCAGCTGTCTGATAATCATACTAAGAATATATCTGGTGCTTAATTCTCTCTGCTCATTATTAATCAGCGGGAGGAAGGTACGCAGGTCAGGTTTAAATAGCTGACATATAGAGGGAAGCGTACCCCTAAGCCCGTAATATAGTTTTATGGGCTGAGTGAGCGTCCGCAAACACTTGTAGTTTATTTTTTATGACTTCGCTTTCATCTTGCCATTTCCAGCACCTCTTGCTCTGCAGTTCACAATGTTCACAGAGCTTTTTAATCTCTGTCACTGTGATGCATTGACACTGCGTCTGCAGCCCATAGCTCCTCAGGTGATCAGTGCTAGTGATTCTCCTGTAGCAACTGCCATCTTTTTTTTTTTATGCCAGTGTGGAAAAAATAAATAAAGGGCATGCAGGCGAAAAGGCCACCTTCAATCCCCCTGCTCAGTGCCTGTTGATTATTTATCCTCACTTGTTATAACCAGAACTGTCTTGATTTTCTTGAGTCTCGACTGCAATCTGTAGCTATCACAGAGCAGAGCTGCAATGAGAACAGCCTTCAGTGTCCTGGATTTTATGAGAATGATGAGTACAAATTAGAGATGTTGGGGCTTGTCACATTAACTGTCTTTCTCATTTCCTATCCCTCCTTTGCGGCATCAGTGGGACTTCACCACAGCAAGTGGGTGCCTGTGGGTGCTTATCTGGACCCTCTTTTCATTCGCCCTCCTCTGTGCAATCCTCCGATCACAGGTAAATTAAAGAGCTTCTTTGTTAACCAGTGTGTTTGCAGTGGGAACAGGTTTTAAATGAATTGCTGACAGACTGGATGTACAGCCTCAGAGTCTTTGGCCCTAGAAAGCACAGGCCCGTGTGCTGAGCAGACTATACAGCAGAGAGCGTAAACTCAAACCTCTTAGGATTTAAATGTACACTGGCGTTCACTGCGTCGGCTGTTAGTGTTGCCAGCGGGTATAAATAAGCATTCTGCAGATTTTAGGTTGTAGTTGGACTCTGACTGCCTGTAAACCAAACAAAACAGCCAGAATGACCAAAAAAAAAACGTTTCTGGCTTAATTACTGCCTACAGCAAACAAGCAGCACAGCACGCTAGAATAAAAATGTTTTGTTTTAAATTTGTGTTACTGAATGCCTCTCCTGAGTGTGTGTGATTCTTTTGCAGTATGTTTACATCGTATATGCCTGCCTGGGAACACTGCTGTTTTCTTTAGTAAGTACACTTTGGTAACAGAAAGTTCTTTTCCGCAGCACTTTTTTTCTTTTTGCTATGAAAAACAGAATTAAAATCCCCAATGGAAATAAAACGAAACCACCATCAAAGAGGGCTTATTGTCAAGTGAGTGTATATGATGCAACACGCGATCCCAGGGCGAAGCAGCCTGATACCAGTTGTTAGTGAAAAGAGAGCGACTTTGATGCCCCTGTGCCCTTTAATTTCAATTATGCACCACTTAACAGTAGTGGGCTTCCTTTTCACAGCCACCTCTCTGTGTGCCTTTGGCATTCGCAGCAAATGTTGTGACCCATCTCGTCAGCCGGTGGAACAAACTGCAGCTGCACACAGAGCTGAACAGGCTGTCAGCAGCAAGTCACAACTTATTTTCAGCTGCACAAGTCTGACTCCCGGATTATTTGTGTGGCCTGTTTATCTGCACCGTCCCATCTCTCAGAAATAGTTAATAGTGCCTGCGCTTGCTCACAGACCAGTTCGCGTTCTCGATTCACAGATCAGTGCTGAAGCATCTCATTTTCTTTCCATCTCTCCGCAGTACTTGGTGTTTGACACTCAGATGATCCTGGGTGGAAAACACAGGAAGTATCAAGTCTCTCCCGAGGAGTACATCTTTGCTGCGCTCAACCTCTATTTGGACGTCGTCACCCTGTTCCTCTTCTTGCTGCAGCTCATCGGCCTCTGCCGCTGACACTTAAACTCCATGGCAGGATTTCCCCTTAAGATACTCTTCTTGCACACATGCAATCAATTCGTTGAGTTTGGTAAACACAGACAGCCAGTCTCCCAGACATGGCTTAAGCCCCCCCAAAGCAAAAACACTGAAGATCTCCACAGAAAAACTTTTTTTGGTCCAAGTCTAGGCTTAAGCCATGTCTGGGAAACTGAGCCCATGATTCATATTGAATACGTCTCCAGACATCTGTCAGTATATTCAAGTTTGCCTATGATTGTCATGTGTTACGCACTGCAGTCTGCTTTATGGATGTTCACTTGTTTATTTTTTTTCCTTCAGGAGTTCAGATTTACATACTGCCCTGTTGCAATTCTTACATAGAACTACATATACTGAATATTTGTTTCTAAAAATTACTCTTTAACTCACAAACTAGTCACTTAGCTACTTGTTAAATCAAAGATTATTTAAAAGTGTTTAATTTTGAATGAAAACTCAATAAAAGAATCGGTCAGTGTTATGAAAATAAAACCATCTGCAATATTTCTTTGTCATAAATGACTATTACAAATGAGACAACCGCAAAGTAAAACTCAACACATAGTTTATTGGCATCACACATCAAACACTTTTCATATAAAGAGGGAATGTATCAAGTATAAACTATGAAAGTGCAAATAGCATTTCAAGGATTAGTTGCTTTACAATAGAAAATCTCAATGAGTTACAAAATGTTATATACCTTTTTTAATTTTTTTTAATAAATCACCTGAACATATGAGGTGACAGTATAAAGTGTGCCCGTTACATGCACAGCATACTACTAAAGAAAAAGGGCAACGCATGTTATCTCCTCTGATAAAAGCACTTCCATTAACCAAGTCCGACAAAGTTAGTTCCATTAACCATATGGCACCCAGACACTTATCAAAGCAATCACTATCTTTAGACTTAATGTTGCTCTATACATCTGCAAGGGGACAGAGAGAGAGAGAAAAAGGTCATTTACTTCAGCCAGACATCAGTCTGTACAAGAACATAATCACGTCTTAAAGGTAAGACACTGACTAGTGTGTTTTAGTTCACATGGGTTACTCACAATCCATTATTTAAATGAATTATCTTTATTCCAAATAAATACCTACTTTATAACTTTCCTCACACACAAGCGATACAGAACAGTAGGTTAACCTATTCTGAAATCAGCGCAGTGATTTTTAGATGCTAAACCCCGGGAACCACTTCAGTGTAGGGCAAGAAGCCTTACTGCACAAACCCAGAGAAATAAAACCTTTCTTCAAAATATCTGGGAATAAGATTTTTTCTTTAAAGTGTGACTTCATCGTTACAACGTATTTCACCAAATCGCTAAAAAAAAAGAAAAAAAAAAAGAGTCAGTGTCATCTATTAACATATCACCACAAGAGCCAACAAAAAAGCCTCTTGCTACAAACATTTCTGATGAGCACATGTCTGAACACTATCAACGGCAATGTGAGAGAAACGACTTTAAGGTAACAGGTGTTTCTGTTTTTGTTTACACTGTCATTTTTTTTTTTAAATTAGCACTCAGAAAAAAAAATGTGTGAAAAAAGGAAAAAGTGAATCATGGTGATTTACACAAAGGCACTGTGTGTCTCAACTCCAGAGAGAGAACCGTTTCAAAGACATGGACTTCCCATGAGGATGAGATGCTGTACACATTCATGATTTTTAATTTTTTTCCCCCCATGCATTACCCTGCAGTCCGGAAAATCTGCAAAGATCTGAAAGGCTTTGCTTATTACTTTTAAAACAGGACCCAGAGATAAATTACGTGACTTGGGCGTGAGTAATTAATTTACCAGAGTCTGAATACGACTGCCTGATTTCAATGGCCTTCCCTGCGGCGTATGAAGCAGACTTCTCACTGTCTACTTAGTCTGTCGCGCTCCACGTTCGGCTGCAATACTCAAAACATTAATTTAAGACAAGCTACAATGGAATTCAGAACATGCTGTGACAAAGGTGCAAACTGAATCACGAGCACTCCCTCTGGGCCCGTCAGCATTCGTTGTTTTTTGATTCAGCCTGTGTTGGGGAGTAATAACCACTGTCAAGTCCATTTTGAAATGTTTTTGAGGAGGCCAACTACTTTTCAGTTGAATAATTAATCAAAATTTTGCCAATGTGAATATTTTACATAAAGTACAAATCCATTAGGGCCTGAAGCCTCAGTTCTACACGGCTCACGGCAGCTTTTAGCCAGTGACATTTTCAGAGTATCAATCAGCTGCAATCTCAAAGAAAATTATGGCTCAACACTTTCACATTAAAGTTTAGCTGAGTGGTTGAGATTGTAAAAAGCAGGCACAATTTGCTTTAGAGAATCCACTTGGTGACTGCAAACTGTGCTTTTGCTAGTCAGTGTTTGGCACCCATGAAGTAGGCAGAATTGGACAGGAGTGAGAACCATCTCAGCCGGCTTTGTTTCGATTGAATATTGGAGCAAACTGTTAATCTGCTCACTAAGTACAGCTGAGTTACATCAGACCTGATCCAGACGGATACAGTAGGCTTTTAGTCCAGTGGAAAATAACTATGTAGGTTAAAGTTTCTAAAGCTCCTAAGTCTCTAAATCTGATATTTAAAAAACAAAAACAAAAAAAACCCCGCTACTTATTTGTATTTTTACTAGTACAAGACTTGTTTTATAAGTCACCCTTGAAACTGGTAACTAACTGTGATCTCTTCTATTTAGTACTTTCTTTGCAGAAGGCTGACAATACAGTAAACACATCTTGTTGCACTTAAATCTGAATCTGTGTCTTCCCCACTTTCTGGTCAAGTATGACACATTCCCCACTCTGTTTACATTCCACCTGAATAGCTAGCACAGACGTTCCTCCTCTTTATTCATTTTGCAATCTGTAGTGGTTTTTGGCCTTCCTTAAAAGCTCTTTGCCATCTCAGTTAGAGAGATCATACCAAGTGCACTTGATCTTCCCACTCAGATGAGCTGGTGCTTGGCAGCTGATCAGACACAGAGTCACATCGCGGAGTGTCGACGTGGCACACCTTTGAGCCTCTGCGCTCGGCATGGCCTCCGCTTGCGTCATGGGCTCCCATGTAAGGTAGTGGCATGGTGTCCAGCCCCACTAGATCTAACTGGGTCGGTCTCTCAGCGACAGTGCACTCCTTCTCCTCCATCTCACTCAGCCTCTGAGAGCAGAACCCCACATCTGCCATCACCTCCTGAGGCTTCCTGTTTTCAGGGAAGACGACCACCCCGACCTTGTCATCGTCTTCTCCTTCGCCCCTATGGAGTGAACCCGGGACTGAGTCGCTGTCACAGGAGGTTGGGGGTACCAGAGTGATACCTTGAGGATTCATGTCATGAAACCAAGCCATGATATTGCCCAGCAGGTTAGCGTTTGCTGCTAATGCAGAGGATGAGGATGGGTCGTGGCTGCCACATGTGGTTGAGTCTGTTGTGTCGGTGGAAGAGAAGAGGCCTGTTGAAGAGCTGCTGCAACCAGGAGCCACTGGTATGGGCACAGAAGCACCGTATGCCCGATGATGACTGTCACCGTGCTGTACAGGGATAGCAACACCGGTGGCAGCAGAGTACTGGCTGCTGATGTTGCCAAGTTTCACCAAGTTATCTCCCAACTCCAGCAGTTCTGAGCTGCTTAGAGAAGCTCTGGGGGGGACCTCGATGCCTGGAGCACTTTGCTCAAGCCTCGAAGGCAGGGAGGTGCCAATAGCGCCGAGTGAGGCTTCGTTGGCAAGTACTTCATGACTGGACACACTCCCGACCATCCCTGAGTCCTGGAGTGACAGCTGAATAGCCAGAAGAATGTTGGGGTCATCGTCATCCAGCGAACCCAGACCCTGCAAGAATAAAAGGATCCAGTGTCGCAGAGCATCAGCAGTTTTCAAACTTAACTTTAAGTATAACCTGCAGCACCTATTGTTAAAAAAGTTAACACTAGCAGCAGATGGAGATAGTGACAAGGCAAGGAAAATAGCAGCTGCTGCAGTTTTGACACTTTGACACACAAACCTGAAAGCAAAGTCAGTTTTTCTTTATAGCTGCTTTGTTGCAGTCAGCTCACAGTGGGTTTTAAGGTTTTACATTTTCAAAACTATCATTACCACTCACTCTGTGTTTATATATAAAGTCCCAGCACACAACATCGCTGCATCACTCAGTATGTTTCAAGTCATTCATGCCCCAACCCCAGTCCAAAGAAAAAAGAAAAAAGAAAACCCCGTAGGTTTCAGTTTCAAATATTACTCTTTTATTAACTGAACATTTGGTGAACTAGTGAATATGAAACCGCTAAGAATCAAGACGACATTAATAATTCACAGTACTAAGACAAAAATGCCTTCAGGAATAATTTCAACTACATTACCGTTTGAGCTCGAGATAAATGTTTACTCACCATCATAGGACCTTGTCTGCGTCCACTTCCAGCATCCTGTGTGTCTTTATAGGAAAAAAAGGAACAAAGAAAAAGTCAAACCTGGTTATTGAACTAAATCAATGCAGGATAAATCAATTTACTCAGTTTAATCTACTGCTAAGTATTCAATTTAGTAACATCATCTTGAGTTTAGTCAACACACTGATGAAGGACCAGCAACCCGTCACAACCCCAGGAACTGCACTAACTGTATCTGTATCTGTGAGCAATTCCTCTTTGCTCACAAAACAGAACCTATTAGCTACCCTCCAGTTTTATCTATTGTTTTCAGTCCATACAGCCTAGATAAAAGTACCACGATGATGGAGAAACACAAAAGATTAGAAATGCTTACTGAATTCAAGCAAGTGTCATTTTTCCAGAAGCTCTATTTTGGAAAAACTAATTAGTAAAAATCAATATTTCTAAACAAATAATGTAACTGAATCATTGCAGTGCACCTGTGCTTGTTTAGGTACCGGTGGATACTAAGACTCTTCTCCACTTGACACAATACTGCCAGGGAAGCATCTGACTGGATCTTAATATTTTTGGCGCATTAACCATGACTCCAACAACATGAAAAAATAAACTGATCTGGAACAGATTGTAAGGCCTGAATTCACTGAAGAGCTTTGAAACGTTACCATTTAATTGTCTGTTTAAACAGACAGTTCTTTAAAGTTAGACATTCTTAATCCACACAGAGCTAGAGCCTTAACTTGAGTGCAAGAAAATGAGGCTTGAGGTAAGGAGGATGATGATAAGGTGGAAATGACAGGGGAGAGAAAGCAGTAGTGAAGGACGAGAAAGAGATAACGAAAACATCAGCCACTGTATTCAAGACGGTGGGGCTTCGCAAACCTGCACCTGCTCTTATGCAATTCTGATGGATTCATTCAAAGTTAATAAGACTGTGCCTTTAAAACAAATTATAAAGCAACAGAAATGTGTGTTTAATAGTAACAGAGACTTTAATACTTTCTTTGGCATTTCTTCTACACCCAAGTAATTTAACTGTAACTTGTCTACAGCGTTTTTCACTTTGTAACATCACAATTCAAACATGGAAACAAACATCATGATTCATGCTTCTATTCAACTCATCCTTTGAATTACATGCGTCACTAATAAAAGAAACAAAAATCAAAGTTCATCACAATGTGATTTCCTGAGAACAAATCAAGAAAATCTAGCTCTCATTTAATCTCATTCTATACTTTCAAACCACACCATCACTAAGATGAACTTCAATATGTCTTTTCTGCAGTCTCTAGTTCTCAGTTTATTAATGTCCTACCAGAACAGTTTCAGATTAGAATAATTCTTATAACTCTCATTTCTAGAACTGACTTCTATAAAACTTCCTATCACATGTACACAGTACTTCCCTATATCTATCTTTAAATCGTTTTCTATTCAAAAGATCATTCCACCTTAAATGCTTTGTATCAGCCATTACAAATTGTACTTTGACCCATTCCATCCATCTGCTGGGTTTTTGTTTTTTCCATGCTGCAGTCAGTGTGCCATTCCAGGATGTATACCAATTGGACTGATAACAAATGTAGGCTTGATCTTAATTAATCACACTTTTAATGAATATAAAAAAATATTCTTTTCACAAAGTGTTTCACAGTCACACTGCACTATTAGAAAAATGTATCCATGATTAGAAGCAGAGAAGGTCTCATTTTTTCCCAAGAATATAGAATAGAATTTTGACGTTCTTTTTTAATTAAGATGCAGTTTTGATCTATTATTCTGATCTATTATTCTGATCTATTATTCTCTAAGCAATTTTTTTGCTGAGAGCCTGAAGCAGCTGTGATTATAAGAGATGACCAATTTAAGTTAATTTAGCTGAACAGTCGATCAAATCTACCTGAGGGCCATCGAACCCTGCTTTAATGAAAGAAATACAACTCAAGGGAACTTTCTAAACTTTACAACTTTTATCTTTTATACACAAACAATCAAAATCTTTTGTAAACATTGCAAACCTTGAGGTGTCTAAATCTGCGCACTGTCTGTGCACCAGATAGTTGTTATAGTTTCAGGCGTTTGGACCCAATCTAAAAATCAGACCAACTAGAACCCAGAGATTTTGCATTCAGATGGATCACACGATAAATTCACGTGGTAACTTAAGCTATGCAAATAACAAGCTGTGACAAGGGAGAAAAACTGAATATCACGATGTGAAATAGCCATCACAGGAGAAACCCTGTATAAAGTAAAGTACCTAAAGTGCTGTCGCTGAGGTCGTCAGGGTCAGGTGTGTTGCTACGGAGACTGGACATGTCGCCTCGCCGCCTCTGCCTATGCCGCCGTCTGTACTGGAACTCTGCGTACTCCTTAAAATATAAGAACAATCATTACTATAAAAATGCAATGAA